CAATCCCTACATTTTGTGGGGGACCTCAATTTTCGAAATTTGTGAGTGAGAGCCGCCTTTGACATCAATGTTTTCTTAAATGTTCCAAGGGAATTGGGTCCTTGCAACAGAAATAAATTGGTATAAGAATTGTAAGATGACATAACAATTATAACACATGATGCTAAATTCTGAAAAATCTTTAGACTTTGTAACATTCATATGTCACAGGAAGCTATTATTTTGAGTCTGCAACAGCAAAATAGGCATCCAATTTATAGATCTCTTACAAAGTACACATTTGAGCTGTAAGTAAAAAATCACCAAAAAACCATTAAGGTACTTCTAAAATAGGATGGCATTATGTTTTCAACATCAGCGAATCTACACTGTTATTAATATACCCTTTATAGCACCTGGAAGGCTGTTACAGAATGGTATTACATTCTTAGAAAATGTCCCTATGAAAGCTTCAAAGAAAACTAGCTGTATGAGACCAGTAAGTGTCACTGTTATTTGCATTAAAGATAAAGCTACTCTTACTCTGAATTCATCATAAAATTAAAGATAATACTAGCTAGTTTTCCATCAGTATCCTACCTGAGATCAGATGTTCCATATTATTTTAGTAAATGATGCCCAAACAGGTATAAGGAGTTCTCAAATGTACAAAACTAATTTATATGAGTCTAACTCAGGTCATTAAGGTAACTGATTTCTCTCTTATATCTGTCAACATCCATAACTTTCCTTGTCCTCAAGAACATATTTATTTAATTTTCCTGCCTAACTTCTCGTGCACTATTTCTTTTAAAGAGACTTTTTCAGAGTTTCTCATGCATTACAACACTTTTAACAGTTAAGGCACTGTATGAGGTTTATAAAAGATCAAACTAACTAGTTTATTTTTGTACCCTGCTAATACATTTTAGATCTAGTAGTTTTGTTACTTATTCTTTTATTCTTGTTTCTAACATTTCACTAGTGCATTATCAACCCATACTTGTACATAATTTTTGGGATAGATTTAAGTCAATATAATGTCTTTTAATACACAGCAAAGTAATTCTTTAAATTATACTATTTTCCTAATATCATGCAGTGTTGCTGACTCAAAGGGTTTAGTGAGAATTTGATTCAGGTGAGAGTAATACCAGCTTCTGAAGGGGAGGGTGGTTCTCTTTCATCTAGATCATCTGCAGAAGACATGGTTCCACTGGATGGAGTTCGTGGCAGTTTTCGATGAAAGTCTCCTAAAAGGAAATGTGACTACAATCACCTGACTGTTCACAGTAGAATTTAAGAAATGGGTAATGACAATATTTTTTGAACAACACAAGTCATACTATTTTGTGGGCTACAATGCAAAAAGCTGTTTCCATTCTCAGACTTTAGATATAGGGAATTCTGATTTTTATTATTAGGAACAAAAGAGAATTCAACCAAACCTGACTTTTCCAAATAAATTTAAAATTGAGAAATCGTACATTCCAATGAGACCTTACTGCCAACTTGTGATAGTTAGAGATTATATGCTCTACAAGGACAGAGATTCTTTTCTATTCATGTCTTACCATCCACTATCTAACAAAGTGACTAGCACAATGGTAAACTGTCATTAAATGCTTGTTGAATCGAATTACAAAGAAACGTATACAAAAATAATACACAAAAATCTAATGAATACATCAATACAATGGTAACATTTCAAGTTGCGAGGAGGATGGGAGAGCGGGAAGCAGGAATGAAAATCCCTGGCAGGAAGCTGAGAGCACAGGACACAAGCTGTGTCAGCAAAGGACGCTGTGTGGGTCTCAGAGCCGCCTGACTAGGGCCTGAGGTTCCTCTGCTCCCTGCAGAGCATACAGCCAGGACTCTAGCTATCCAAGTGGAAGATCTCACCTTACCTCAAGGCCTTCATGAGCTTAGGGATGCGAGTTAGAAAAGGTTTTACAGATGATTTCAACCAACATCTTTCCCCCCAAAAGATTCCTCTTCAAAATATGCTTAAGAGGCTGGCAGTCACCTAGTTTTTGCTTTGAATTGTGCTCTCAGTGACTGAGAAATCATGGGGTGCCACGTTCTACTTAGAACTATTCTAACTGTGAGATGGCCTCCTTGTATTTTTGAGCAGCAACCTGCCTGCCCACGAACCCCAGCCTTTGGTCCCCGTTCTTCCTGAAGGAGATGAGCACTGTCCTTGAATCCCTTCCCACTCCAGGATGTGAGGATGGCTGTCGTGTTCCCCACTTCCCTCATTCCCAGATCAGGCCTCCCCAGATCTTCACCATTTACCATGTAACTAGTTTTCAAACTTTTGTCTTTATCACATGTAGTCTTATGGGATTCCAAATAATTTAGGGCTTGTTCTAGAATGGGTCTTAATTTCTGGGCATAGCTACAACCATCGTGTTTTTACAAAGTCAATTACAAACACTCAGCCAAGTATTATTTAGGCTCACAACTTCAGGGTGTCGCTTGCACACAACTAGTTTTCAAGGAAGACACAGAGTAAGCCTACAAACCCCAATGCTGCATGGAAATTATTTCTTACTTTAAATTTCAAGAGATTTATTTATAGAAATAAAATTTCTGTAATATATAGAACACTATTTAAAAAATGTCTTGGACTTTTGAGGCAGGTTATATCTTATAACATATTCCACAGCACCAAGGATCCTAGGAGAAGGGCTGGGAAGAACAGGATTGGAGCAGTCTTTGGTAGAAGAGTGGAGGAGAAAGAATGTCTAAGGAAGAATCTCATGGGTCCAAATACTACCTTCTTTCCCTGCTAGCTGTATTACCTATGGCAAGTCATCCTCTTTGAAGCCACTAAGGAGAAGTCAACACATCTATCTTGCCTCTCTAAGGAGCATTGGACTCTCCTTATCAAAGTGCCTTTTAAAGGTACATTTAAAAAACTGAGTAAGTAATCACAGGCACAAAATTAGTGTTAACTGAATTGTTCACCACAGCAATTAGCTACAAAACAATCTAAAATGTATAGTTATGTTCACAGAATGGAATACTATATAGATTATAAGTATAAAATAAAGATATATAAGGACAGCTATTCACATCAATATGGATCTAAAAAAACATGAAAGAAGTCACACAAAAAAATGGTATAATTCCATCTGTATAACATTCCAAAGAGGGCAAAGCTCAAGTAGATACAGGTAATAAAACATTTAAAATAGCTAGAGAATGATTGAAAAAATCCAGGATGATGGTCTGTTCTGGGCGGCAGTGGGGTAAGGTTTTCAAGGAGGTGTCCAGAGGGCCCTGCTAATATACTGATCATGTTTTATTTCTTATAGGCTGGGTGGTGAATATATGAGGGTTTGTCTTAATTTTCTTTAAACTGCATGTGTATATGTATATACTCCTCTCTAGGAGACAGTTGATTAAAAAAATCAGGTGGTTAAAATATATCCCCCAAAAGGAATATGTCATTGAATTTTCTCTGCTAGACTTAAATGCTATGTACCTGGACTTATAGATTCAGAATCCAGAGATCTAGATTCACTGCTTCCTCCAGTGCTCTCAGAGTCACTAAACATCCCAAATGTCCATGACCTTATAAAAGAAGGACCTTTAAGAAAAGAATATTTAAAGTCAAACTTGGCTACAGACAGATTTCATGAGGTGAAATACTGACATTACATAAAATGAGACAAGTCAAATTTCTGTACAGTGATCAAACAGTCAACTTTAAGACAGGCACAGTGCTTACAACTGCGAATAAGGCCTCATGAAGTTTTAATTCAAGGCCTGATTTTTAAATTCCAGAGTTGCAACTCATTTAATAATCTCATTTAAACAACTTGATCTTCCATAAATCAGAGCTCTCTTTAATGTGAAAGTCTACCTGTTACATCAGCACTATTGGAGCATCTGTCCTCTTCAATCTTACTAGAACTGTCAGGAAGGCGCACTACATCCTCTAACGAGTCGGTAGGTCTGTATCCAGAAGTGTGGGGACTATTTGTTAATGGTTTATTTATATTCCTAAGAAAAACCCAAATAAAACTCATCATTTAGAAGAATGACTAATACCCAGACTATTTTATTCTATTTTCAGAAAAATCTGCTACTTTAATGAACAGAGTAATTAAATATTAAAAATAAATCTTATTATATGGTTCAACTTCTTAGAGAAGATGTGAACAAAATTTATTAATCATTTGAGCTTATTACAGCCAAAACATGGAAAAGAGTAGCAAAAGTATGGTCAATAATTCATGTCATGGTTAAACTTTTCTAGTATAACGTCTATGGAAAATGTAGGTTGTTAAATATGTAGACATTCAAAATAGATATGAATATGATTTGCCATTCTCAAAGGATTTCTAAATCTCAAAGAACTGAGCTCTGTGTCAAAATGAAAAGCTTTACACTTAAGTGATTCACATCTGAATATAAAATGAGTTCAGAAAGTTTTAAAGTCAATTCTGCCAATGTTAGAAAAGACACCACCTACTATCAGATAGGAACTTAGCAATAAAGGTTTTATCTTTTGAGATAATTTCATTTACACATTAATTCTTACCCATCAACTTTTTCTTCTTCGGTTGCATTTGTGGCCTTGACGAACTCACTGTACTCTTGACCTGGGTCATAGAGTTTGGCACTATCACAGAGAGACTGTAAATTGTTTGCAAGGGAGGCTGCCTGAAGGTGTTGCATCTGGAAGAGGTTAACTGTCACCTATGGTCACAGACAGAGACAAAAGGCAAAATAACTTCCACTATACAGAACACTATATAAAGATAGATTGATTTCGAAAGAAAAAAGGCCATACAGTGAAGCACAGAACACTGAATATCACCATAAGCATACTAGGTTGCCTGGCTTTGTGCAAGGTCTAGATTAGGTCTAGATCTAAAAAAAAAACAAAACAAAAAACAGTAGTTGTAATTCACTATCTAGGAGCAATCGTTGTCAGCAAAACTGACTGTAAACTGAAAAGTTCACAAATACATTCCCTTGTCCTACTGGTTCATAATATTAGGAGACAGATGTGTTTTTGAGGATCCCCAGCTCCGTATGCTGATGGTCCGACCGCAACAGTCTAAACTCTTAAGTGAGAAACATAAGGGAAAAGGTTTCAATCAGAGTATAATTATTTTGACTTTTACTTTTTCAATCCTATTAAAAAATGCTTTCCAATTATAATGTATCCTAAGGAACTCAGCTTTAATAATTAGGCATTATCTTGAATCTATCCAAAATATATTATCCCACTGAGTTTCTACAAATGCCCACATATACTACTATTCCTACTACTCGTAGTAATAGTAGCAATTTTTAACAGCCAGCAAGTGCCTGCAAACGTGCCAAATCCATTCTGAGAGTTGCACACGAATGAATTAATTTAGTGTTCTCAGAAACCCAGGCTTTGAGCGTATTATGGCAAATAAACAGATGAGATCCCAGTCCTCACAAAATTTACGTTCTCCTGAAGGTGAAGTAAGAGAGAGGGTGAATAAATTCTGTAGATAAGATAATTTCTGGTATTGAAAACTTCTATAAATACTATATAAGACTGTCAAGTTATGAAATATGAGCTGGGATGCATTTGCAGAGTGGCACTTCTGATATGGCAGGTTAGTCAAGCCTCTCTGAGTAGGTCACACCTGAACTGAGATCTGACGTAAGAAAGAGCCAATGCAAAGTTTCAGGGAGAAGCCCAATCCAGAAAAAAGGAAGAGGTAGCACAGAGACCCCAGAGCAAAAGTGAGTGAGAAAGAGCTTGCCATGCTCAAGAAACACTTGAAAGGTCAATATGGCTGAAGGCTTGTCCAAAGAGGTGAAGTTTCAGTTTGAGGTGATACCAGAAACAGGAGGCATTTAAACAGAAGTAAGGAGTCTGAATTTAAGTACAATTGGAAGCCAGTGGAGGGTTTTAAAGGGTGTTAAGAGCTATCACAGAATTTATGTTATAAAATGCCACTCTGGCTTCCAGGTGAGCAATGTGAATAAATGCCAAATTTCAATTGGCTTAATATTATTTCAAAGACTGCCATGTTTCCTCTTCATTTCTCTTGTTACACCAGATAATCTGCTGAAATTCTGATTAACCTCTGAGACCTTTCCAAGGTAGAGAGGCATTCCCGAAGGATAAATAAGACTCAGCATAAGTAGTATTTGAAAAGTAAACATAAAAGAATAGCTTATATGTGTTATAACTCTCTCAAGGAACAAAGGAAATTCAAATGGCAGATGGTAAAGTTTAGTCCTGCAACTGGCTATGATGAGAAAATTCCCCAGTTAATGGTAAACTGAACTTACTCTCTTGATCCTAAAGGTAACTGTACATTTTTTATACTTTTTAATAAGCTTTATGAATCTAGTTAAAAACACCAATAATTTAAAAAGCCAAATGAATATACTGGCATAATCAATTCATCGGCTGAATGTTTGTTTCTGGGTACTTATTAAAAATAAAGACTTAAGGAGTTATATATATGGGTAGTCCAATCTTAAAATCTGTTTTCCCTAAATTATTCAGCCTTCTCACTTACCTAACAGAAACAGTAAAGAGTGAACCCCAGTGGGGTAGATCCTACAGGACTCGCTGGGGATCTTACCTGGGGTGGCTCACAGGTACCTCAAAAATCATCCTGCCTCTAGATTTTTTTGTGCCCCAATCTGCAACCTGAGTCAGGAACTTAGACTTTTCTTCTAGTCCTCTAGTTAGTACAGTGACCTAAGTGCCTCTTAAAGGGGAAATGACCAAATGTATGGTAACAGAAAGTGTGATTAACCAATGTCATACTGTAATTCTGTTTGTTTTCTGGAACTGTTCCCTCTAGCACACAGGACTTCAAACTAGATCTATCCCCAGTTTTCATCACCTACAGCAAATTTTTAGTTCCTCCAATGGCACTTGGATTAGTACAAATATTTATGATAGCTGTTCAGAGAGAATTTGAATTTCAAATAATGGGGAAAGTTTCTTTCATATAAAATAGCAATAATCTAAAATAAATTTGGCTCAGTATAATTCTCTATCCTATATTATTTTAAAGATAAACTTTTTTTGAATGTACTCTAAAACTAAACAAAACTCTTGCTCTAATTCTTCCCATTTTTCAAAGCCCATTGATTTGGTTAGGTCTTTAGTGACTGGCCTGGTCGTTTCTTCTTCCTCTCAGTAATATAATTACAATCTTTATCTCTGATCCTTCAATATTTCATAATTTAAGACAATTTTAGATATTCAGTAGTAATCCTCAATGTCCATGATATAACTTACAATTTTCCTAGGATATAAATGTGATATGTGTATCTTCCGGAAAATAGTGAGAGAACCTGAGTGCCTAGAATCTTTGTACCTCAAATAATTTTGCTTTTTCAACAATCACATATGAGATATGTCCTAGAGTGAAAAATAAAAAATTTTTAAAAACAATTTGAGATGCTGAATAAGTCACCAAAACCCCTAAGTTCTGCTTTTGATGGAGAAGAAAACATAAAGAGGGGCACCTGGATGGCTCGTCAGTTAAATGTCTGCCTTTGGCTCAGGTTATGACCTTAGGGTCCTAGAGCTGATTCCTGCATCGGGTTCTCTGCTCAGCAGGGAGTCTGCTTATCCCTCTCCTCTGCCCGCTGCTCCCCCTGCTTTTGCTCTCTCCCAGATAAATAAATAAATTTTAAAAATCTTATATAAAAGAAAGAAAATTTAAAGAAATCGGAGAAAGTCATTGTTCTTACCTAGAAAAGAATATCTATATTCAAGAAATGAAATGTTTGATTTGGTATCTGTTTGGATCTGCATGTGAATAAATACTAGACAGCACAACTAAACTTAATTAAATTGGCTCAAAGAACTTTAGCTAATATCAACTTTTATTCACAAATATATACACAGATCACCTCTATTAGCTGTCTCTATACATTACATGCTGTACAGATTTTCATAAGTTTGGGGATTTGTCCAAGTTTGAGAGACCTTAACCTCAAAAGTCTATATCATACACTGATAGGTACTACTCTCCAATTTTTCAGATGTGTTCATTCTCTCTTCCTAAATATATGTTAATCTCCTTGAAAGCAGGTATCTGTCTTACATTTATGTACACAGTGGGCATCAATAAATATATATATGTTACATACAAAATTAAGTAACCCCTTATTTATATCACATCAAATTAAAGGAAATCATAATTACTGGATCACCAAACAGCATCATTTTTAAGAGGTATGTAGGCAAGATTATACCTTGTAAGAGAGCTTAAAACCATGTTATATGAAAAAAAAATCAGATATGGGGGTGTGTAATTTGGAAAAAACATACAGGAAAAGGAGGTAATAATTGTCTTTAAACAGTTAAAGTGTTATTTTGTAGAAAAGGGATTATAGGAATATGGTATAACTTGAAAGGTCCACAAGAAACAGATTTCCTTTTAGCTCAATATAAAAATTATATTAATTTTGGAGTTGCCACACACAGGCAAATAATCATTTGGCAAGACAGCACGGTATTTAAGAGCACAGGTTCTGAAGTCATTCAATCAGGTTCTACCCTAGCTTTACAATTTACATGCTGGGTGACCTTGATCAGGTTATTTGTAACTTCTCTAAGCAAATCCTTCATAAAAAGCTAATGTGCAAATGAATCATGCGGGGGATTCTTGTTCAAAATGTGGATTCTGATTTCAAAAGTCTGAGTTGAAACCCAAGATTCTGCATTCCTCATAGGCTCCCAATGTAAAGATAATGTGTCGGGCCTAAGGACCATGTTTTGAGAAGACAGGTTTTCTAAACTTTAGTTTCTTTACCAATAAGATGGAGCTAAAAACAGCTGTATTTACCTAATGGGATTGTGTGAGAATGAAATGAGTTAATGTAGGCAAAGAACTTAATACACTGGCAAGTATATATCAATCTTAGCTCTCATGAACTATTGTCTGAGGTGAAAAGGGCTTGTCAAGTGTAAAGGTTGGCCTAAGTAATTCATAATGTAATTTTGAATCCTGGGATTTTTTATAATTCTTTTCAATCATTTTGCTAAAATTGGCTCTTTAAATTAATCACACATTAATCAGAATTCGGTAAACAAATGAGATACGATTTTAAATACTAAGGAACATTTTATGGAGACTTTCTGATTCAAATGGAATAAGCTTACCACCCCCCCTCTCCCCGGTTTCCCACCGAATTCTCAACTTTCTGAGAACTCTGGAAAATAAATGGCAGCAGGCAGATTGTGGAAAGAAACAACAAATTGAGGTATGAGCAATCCAGGGGTATGCTTCCTGTTATTTCTTTTGCTACTGTTTCCCAGGCAATACTGACCTCCTATTCAAAGACATGTGACTGAAAGAGTTTGGGTGGGGGGACTCTCTGGTTTCTTTTCTCTGTTTATTTTCTCTTGTCCTCCAGCCCCAAAGCAAGTCCCAGGCACTAAACTGTGGTGCTGTGGCACTGATGGCAGTAGCAGCCAAACAGACATCTATAACTTTGAGGGGAATTCTTCTCTAGGACCAGATAAACTGGATCTAAAGAGTGAGGGGTCTGAAATTCCTATTGTTTTATGTCTTTATCCTTTCCTTCCTTGGCCCTCAATAGCAGCAGAGTAGTTTAGCTAAGTTGCACAGCTAGAAGACTTGGAAGGGACTCCTTAGGAGCTGTAGAGTGAACATAACTCGATCAAATGCCTGCTAAAATTTAAAAAATATCAGCATTCAGTATAGGTTAGAAAGATGACCCTGAGTCATATAAAGTAATACAGAAAAGTCCAGAATACCATCCAAAATTACTTGCTACATGATGGACCAGGAAATCTCATCAACACACAAGAGAAAAAACAATAAATAGACACTAACCCTGAGATGACTCACCTTTTTGGATTATCGGATAAAGACTTTTAAAGCAGCTATATGACAGTCTAAATATGTAAGAGCAAATAATCTTAAAACATGGGAAGACTGAAGTCTAAGCACAGAAATGGAAGATATAAAAAAGAAACAGAAAAAATATCTCAAACAAAAAAATTTACTATTTTAACTGTATAGGAAAATAGAGATAACAAAGGAAAGACAGTGAACTTGAAGACAGATCAATAGATCAACAATCAAGAGAAAAGATTGGGGGGGGGAAGACACCTCCCTCACCAACCCGTAGAGAAAAAACAAAGGTCTAAAATTTGAGTCACTGGAGTCTTAGAGCAACAGGACAGAGTGCTATAAAAATT